AGGGTTTGTCCCGTTTTAGAAGTCAAGAAGCGCAACTTTCGGCACCCTAGTGTATATACATCAGAAACCAGCAACTAAACCAACTGCCCTGCCTTTGGCACCTTCTCTTTACGCTTCTCTCTTCTGTCCTCTTTCACCTGATTATCAAATCTACTGTATCCCTGTTGTCAGGGACACAAAGAAGCTGCAAGCAAGTGCAAACAAGTGCAAAACTGGCCTTCTTTTTCCACTCAGCCTAAGTGTCTTGCAAGGACTCACTGTGAACCAGAGCCAAGGACATTTGGCCTTGTCCATCCCTTCAGGCTTGTGCCTGGAGTGTAGCCAATTCACCCATCTCGTAAAACTAGAATGAAGCAGTTCAAAAACATGATGTGAAGGCAACTCCACAGCAATTGTTGGGCTGTGTGCCCCACCCATTGCGCTTTTCATCGGAGTCCGAATGGCTTTCCTCTTCCTGTTCCTCTTCGGTTGCATCATTGTCTACCTCACTCTCTACAGACGCAGCTGCCGGATCCTGACGCACGAAACAATCATCCTACATCCGCTACTTCATGCAAATCAATGTGCACTTGGAGTGGTCTCCCATCAAGTATCAGATTTGTCATAATGCTTGTGGCACGCCGGGAAGGGTCGTGCAAAATCATTACAACTGATGCTATCCACAAAGTGGCAGCGCTGCAATGCTTGGGAAAGATCACCTCTCCACTGAATTGCCATAGCACGGCAAAATGAACACAATAGCAATAGCCTCCTACCTACCAGCGATGGCTTAACCTAAGAGCGATGGCCTCCAACCTAATAGCAAGGTACATATAGTCCAAAGTAACATAGTATGCTTTTTCCACGCTGTTTGCGTAAGGTGCACTTAGACTATACTACCCATCCGTTCATCCCTTTATACTACCCATTTCTACTCAGCGTAACCAAAAAGGCACGCCTCCTGATCTGGTGAATAGTATACCGTCTACCAATCAATGCAGCTTGAAGTGACAGCTCCTCAGGTAGGTTCTCGCCAGCGAGCAGTCGCTCGTAAAGCACCTTGCAAAAAAATCATGAAAAGTTGTATTCCTTGAAGATCTTGATCAGCCTCCTCACCGTTCTGTCTCTTCTCAAGCTCCCGATCCAGGTATTTCTGATCTGAGACCTTCGAGACAAATTGTTTTCTTTCTTGTAATTTATGCAAAATTGGCAAATAGCCAGCTGTATGCTTGCAGTTTGCAGTTTGCATCCATCCTATGTGCAGAAATCAGTGTGCCTGGTTCAGGTTGCTGGGAATCCAGGTCTGAATGAAAACCTCCCATGAAGTCTGGTTCTTCTTTGCACACTGCTCTGATTTAATCTTTGAGCCAAGATCAATTATACCTCGTCTTCAGCATCCTCTTCATCAAAGGTTCCATTTGCTGCCGCATTCAACAAGTCCTGCGAAGTGCAAGCTTCACAAGCAACAGCCCATTTCTGCAAGGGCATGTGCTCAATAAATGATAGCCAGGCTGGATCAAGGGATGTCCTTGAATAGTTTGCTTTCGGCCATGGTGTTGGCATCTGATCTTTCGACCCTAGGGGGCTTTTATGAATCTCCGCATGACAAAGTCTTTCAGTGAAGCTGAAACAGTTTGATTGCTCTCATCACTTGCCTGTCTTCACGGGTCACAACCTAAGCAGGCAAATAAGCAGAGCGTTTCCACAGGAAGTTTCCACGTAAACCACAACTCCTGAGCAACGGACATAGTCAAACAAACGCTTGACAGGTACAGGTCGGTTTACCATGCGTTTTCCAAAAAAGTTGTTGACCTGACAGACTTCAATGGCTTTGTCTGGAAAATGAAAGCAGTTCGTACTTTGGACACACCAGGCGCCAGACATTCACACAGTCTCTCTTCAAGAAGTCCAGTGCTTGTGGGTGTTCACTTTCAACTGACTGAGAAACATCAATGATGTAAAGCCGACCTTCATGATGAAGCCTGATGAATGCACATCTCAGTTGTTGTGAAAACTGTCCCGGCTAGGCTCAAATCCAAAATCAAGCAGCAAATCATACACAACGTGCTCTCTCCAACAAACCTTGGGGGCCTCCAAAGCACAAGCACAAATGAGGAGACGACCCTGCTGGGGCGCAAACATGTTATATTCGGAGAGATCTCCGTGGACAAGTTTGCATTGCTGCATCCTGCCAAGTTCAATGATCAAGGTCTAGTAGCGATGTGAATCAAGAAACATGCCAGTCACTCATCTTGCGCATAAGAACTGCGCAGTCGATGTAGAGAGACTCCCAAGCTGCTGGGTCTGCAAGTTCAGTATCCTGCATGCACTGCAGGTAGCAAAACCGCAAAAACACCTTTAGCCAGCAGCGCCCCTTGTAAAATAGCGCAGCCAATCGAATCAGAACTGGAACAGTCCCCAGAAACAAAACAAAAAAACAAATTGAATTGAAGCAAACGTGACAGGCTGCAGATGAGTAAGAGTGGTTAGGGAGCCTTCAAACGTGGTAAGGGAGAACCTCCTAAGTAGGTGGTTTTGTTGCATCTGGTTGGCGAAGTAGGACATGAGTGTGACAGCGTGCTACTGTCCAAAAATGCAGGTACATCAATTTGTCGTCTCAAAGTGATATCACTGACCCATGCAGCATGCAAGTGTTTTTGTCGGTGCCCGACTGGCATTGTACCTGGCACCCCCTCCAATCAATGGTTCACTTTCTTATTGCGTTGTACCAACACGGAATACATTGAAATTTGTGGGTTACCAAACGACTTACTGCTTGTGATAGTAATGTGAAAACACACAACAACAGTAAAAAACGACACAAACACAAAAAACACACTTGAATAGATGGTTCGCAACAGCATAGTGTCAGTTGCTGGATCACTGAATGCATTGGCACT